AAGGACATGGATATTGATGACTAGGTCCACATCTGAAAGGATAGGTCTCCTGCCAACTTTAGCTTGAAAAAGCATATTTGGCCATAGTTGCACACTCTGTATCCAGGGCATCTGTGGGTTCAAGAGGAAAGCTTAGTTGCAAATCTGAAGAAAAAAGACATATTCTTCTCTCAACAGAAGGATAGGTATTGCCTCCAGTGCTCAAGGAAGTGTGTTGGAGTGCTAGGGAAGTCAGTGGCTATTAAAGAAAATGGCAAGACATCTTTAGTAAGCTAGTCAGATAGTTGGTAAGGATGTTAGATATATGACTATTCAATTACATGCTAACCACATGAAATCTTAGTGGTTATGTGACTATTTGATAGTCCCTGGGGGCGGGGCCAGCAGCCAGTGCGCTCCCAGCCCCAGTCCCAGGGAGTCCCCTGCTACCCCATGCTGCTGCCTCTGGTACAACAGCCCAGACTCCTCGTGGACAGAGGCTGCTCCGCATCCCAGGAAGCAGCCTTTGTCTGCAGTGAGCTTGGATCCCCTGTGGACAGAGGCTGTTACCTTTGTATCGGAGGCAGGCTGGAGCTGGTCCACCGGGGGAACCAATTTAAAAACCAGCTCCCCATGCAGACCTCTCACCCTGTGCTGCTGCCTCTGATACAGAGGCAACTGCGTGAGGTGGCAGCAGCTTCTGCCTGCAGGGGGGGCTGAGCTCCCCACAGAGCTTCCTGGGATGCGAAGCAGCATCTGTCCACGGGGAGTCTGGGCTGTTGCAGACAGAGGTTGCTTTGTGGCCGTCTCCTCTGCCCCCACCTCAAGCTGCTTCCTCTGATAGAGGCAGCAGTGTGGGGGGAGGGGGAGAGGCAGCACCACAAAGTTGGTGCTGGGGGCGGGGAACAGGCTTTTAAGCTGGCTCTTCCCAGCAACAGCTCTTGCCTGCCTCCCTCCCCATTTCTGTATGAGGCAGCAAGGGAGGGGAGGTGGATCCACAGAGCTGGCAAGGAGCCTACTTGAAAGCCAGCCTCCACCCTCTGTGCTACTGCCTCAGTGGTGGTGAGGGGGCAGGCTGAACTGGTGCTTGGGGGGAGCCTTCTTAAAACCAGCTGCTCATGGGCACCAGCTCCTGCTCCCCGCTCCCCAGCTACCTCTGATACAGTTCTACTTTATACCTGATACAGAGGCAGCAAAGGGGGGGCTTGTAGTCAACAAAATTAACTGATAAGACGAGGCTTATCAATTCGTTGTGTAGCTGACTACATATTGACATCTCTAATAGTTGGGGGAAGCAGAAATAGAAAGAGGGAGCCGTAGTGGTTGCAACAGGAATAGGGAGGTATAAAGTAGAAGTATCCATATATTAGATGGGGGGAGCGGGGAGTGGAAAAATGTGAATGTTGGGGCTTTGCACCAAAGGAAAGATGATCTTCACAAATCTACACAGACCACTGGAGATTCTTTGTTGTGCTTTTATCATGTCCTTGCAAGTTAATTGTATTGTTTTAATGAGGGAAACAGTCTAGTCTTGTGGAATGCTCTGTGCGTGCGTGTGTGTGTGAGAGAGAAAGTGACGCTGATGTATGGTGCCACAGGCCCAATGATTCCACTTTTGTGGTCTCTTTGACACATAATGCAGGTCCAATGGGAGAATTTGTAGTTTTCAAAGTTCCTCTCTCTCTCTCTGAGGACTTGATCCAAAGCAGATGGAAGCCAGTTGGAGTCTTTCCACTGAGGTTAGGTCTAGACTACAGTCCTTTGTTGGAAAGAGCTATGCAAATTGCTCTCTGCAATTTGCGTAGCTTTTTCCTGTTGCTTTTCTGGAAGAGGCTTTTCTGCCATTTGGCCCTGTCTAGACAGGGCCAAATGGGCCTCCTCTTTTGGCAGAGCCCTTATGTCTCGTGAAACAAAGTATACAGGGCTCCCCAAAAGAGCTCTGTGAAAAAAGTGGAAGAGCAAACGCATTCCTTGGATGTGGCAGAGTTTTTCTGGGATACCTCTGGTATCCCGGAAAACCTCCACAGTGTAGACAGACCCTGAGTTCAAGGTGCTTTGGGTTTTGAATTAGGTCCTAAAATGTAGGAGAAGCCAACATTAGAAGAGACTCCTGAGTCAGATAATTCCTCTTGTATAGGCACAGACAGAAAGCATTTATTCAGTTGATCAATGGGCATATATGCTTTTGAAATAAACGACACTGGGGCTATGTCTAGACTACACGCCTTTTTCGAAAGAGGCTTTTTTTAAAGATACTTTTGAAAAAGCCTCTTTCGAAAAAGAGTGTCTAGATTGCATTACGTGGATTGAAAAATAGATCCGCTTTTTCGAAAAGAGCGTCCAGACTGCTGGATGCTCTTTCGACAGAAAAGGCACCCGGAACTGCTTCTGGCAAGGCATGGGGGCAGCCTTTACTTCCCGGTGCTGCTGCATGCCCGTTGCAGAGACGCGTGCTTAAAGGGATCCCCCTGGACAGCTGTTGCTCTGCTCCTGCTTCTGGCTTGCCTACCTCTTAGAGGGAAAGGAAAGCTGCTGCAGTGCTTGCTCCGGTTGCCCTGCTTTCTTGGACACCACAGCAGTTTATTTTCTGGGGGGTTTTTTTTCTGCTTTTCACTGTGTTTTCGGCCATGGAGCCTGAGTTGCCCCTGGGCAGGTGATGGCCCCATGCTGCCATACTGCAGATTCTGCTGCATCTTTATAACTCTGTCATGAATCTCCTGCCCCTTGTGGACCCCGACCAGACCTTTGAGACCTTTGTCCAGGATGCAGGAGCTCTGCCCTTACCCCCAAACTTTTTGGAGGGCAGGCGGATTTGGAGGGATGAGATGAGTTCGGACTGGTGGGACCAGCTCGTCATGGAGCTCTGGGACGACAACCGCTGGCTCCACAACTTCTGGATGCAGAAGGCTACATTCCAGGAGCTGTGTTCCTGGCTCGCCCCTGCTCCGGAACACCAGGACACCCACCTGCGGCCCGTCATCCCCCTGCAGAAGCGGGTCGCAATCTCCCTTTGGAAGCTGCCCCCCGCCTCACAGCTACTGCTCCGTGGGACACCAGTTTGGCATGGGGAGGTCTACCGTTGGGGCCTTTTTGATGGAGGTAAGTCACTTTCGGGGGACAGGCCCTGCTGAGTGCAGGGATTGAGAGAGGGGGATTTCCAGGAAGGGCAAGAGAGAGTGGGGGATGGAGTAGCACTTGGAGATGGCTCCTTGGCCAACCCTGTGCTGATGCGGGGGAGGGGGACGTCTTGACAAGGAGATGGGTGGATTGGGGCGGGGGGGAGGGGGGAGAAGGGTTCTCCTCCCAAGCTCTTAGGTAACCTGTCTAACTCCCTGGTTTCTGTCTGTCTATTTGTCTGTTGCTGCAAGTGGTGAGCACCATCAATATGGAGCTGCCGAAGAGGCTCGTCTGTCTCGGGGACCTGGACAACATCCTTTTTGGGTTTTCCGCCTTTGGCTTCCCAAACTGCGGAGGAGCCCTTGATGGGACACACATCCCAATCTGCGCACCACCATATCGAGCAGCCCAATTTGTCAACAGGAAGGGCTACTATTCCATGGTGCTGCAGGCCCTGGTCGACCACCGGGGACATTTTATGGACATTTGTGTTGTGTGGTCGGGGTGGGCACATGATGCCCGCATATTCCGTAACTCCTACCTGTACCGCAGGTTGCAGGCAGGAACATTTTTCCCCCAGCAGCATCTCACAGATGGGGACATGCAGATGCCAGTGTGCATAGTAGCCGATGCGGCCTACCCCCTGATGCCGTGACTCATGAAGCCCTACACTGGCCACCTGGATGAGAGCAAGGAACTTTTCAACACGCATCTTGGCCAAGCTCACATCCAGGTGGAATGTGTGTTTGGTCGTCTGAAAGGGAGGTTCCATTGCCTCCTCACATGGCTGGAGATGGGCGAACTCCACATCCCGGAGGTAGTGGCTGCATGTTGCACCCTCCATAACCTGGTGGAGAGGAAACAGGAGGCCTTCCTGCCAGGGTGGGGGATAGGTGCTGATGGCGAGGAGAGGCCATTTGAGCAGCCCCAGACGGCTGCCATCCACCAGGCTCACCAGTCTGGTGTCCGAATCCGAGGCCCTGAGGGTGAGATTCTCAGAAGGAACCCACTGACTCTCCCCAAGGTCCCCCCCGTGGCGGGCTTGGCTTGGCTCACCCCTACCTTTCCCTCCACAGCCTTCACTCTCTTCCCATAAAGAATACATACACACCCGGTTTTCTTTGTAAACACACATTGGTTTTTTAGTAGAAACACTAGCAGTACAGAAAATGTGCTAACTGTGTATAAACCACCTTTCTCTTCTTCAGCTGTTTATAAAAAAAAGTAAATCTGTCACTCAAAAATAAAGATTTTATTACATAACTGAAATGTCCTTTAACTCGGGTAGTAGGGGACTGAAAACCTGGAGTGGGGAGGGGGCTCACAGGGTCCTGCCACCTTCCTTCATCCTGGCACTGCCACAGCCTTGGGCTGAGGTGGAGCGAGAGCCAGTCCTGGCCTGGGCGGGGGAGGGGTAGGAGGCAGCTGTTGGGCCTGTGAGGGCTCAGGAGCAGGAGGAGCTGGGGGAGAAGGCGGGATGGGGGGCTGAAGGAGAAGGAGCCTGGAGTGCAGGAGGAGTGGTGCCCGTGAAAGGGGCAGGCAAGGCTAGGACCTCCCGCATAGTGGCACAGATAGAAGTGTGCTGCTGGACACCTGGAGGATCAACTCCTGGGAGAGGGTCCCTGCTGCCTCCTCTTCGTCCTCCTCCAGGTGCAGGGGGGTGCGTGTGGGGGTGGGTGAGGTGACCCCCTCCCTCACAAATTTTACTATTGTTTTTGTTTTTCGGCCCTTTGTTGTTCCCCTTTTTTTTCAACAAGTTTTCCTGCTTTTTTGGAGGGAAGAGGGGCGTGAGAGTTTCTCAAAAATCAAAAAGGGGGCGTGATACCAAAAAGTTTGGGAACCACGGGTCTAGACATACCCTGGAGCAGTCTCATCACAGATTTTGTAGTACATGCATTAAAGGAATGGCTGTTACATATGTGAAGGAATCCCAAAGAACTCATTTAGTAAACCAGTTATTCTTAGAAAAGAAACCAGAATTCCTTCAGCAACAGCAAATCTTTGGTGCTTCTCAAAGAAAAGAAAGAGCTAGTAAGCCCCATCAGTCTTTAGTGGAAACCATGAGGGTGAATTGGGCACATGCTTAGGTCAAATGGGCATTGCTGTCGGAACTCTTCAGAGACGTGCGTTGTACTCCTGAAGTGGAGTACTTATATTGGCATGTATCTCAAACAACTGTAGTTACTTTACAAGGTAGGTGACTTCTCCCTCTTGTGTAGTGAGTTCTGTATATCATCTCCTCCTCTCCAGAGCAACAAGATGAGAAAATCCTTAAATACTATTAAAACTCTAACATCATGCCTCCATCATTCACTATTCAACTAGCGTTTTTGTCAAAACATGACCTACAAGGTGGGAAAAATAATATGCCTATTATTATTGCTTTAATAATAAAGTAGATGTAGATGGTGCTTGAAAGGTTTGTTTACTACTTGTTTCTTACATTAGAAATGTGGGTCATGTGTTTGGAAAACTTTGTGATGACTAGAGAACTAGTGAAAGGTTGACAACACAAGAGCCAAAAGTGGGAAACCATAGTAAATGAAAGGGGAAAGAAATTGTAAATCACCGTGCTAAAACTTTCTGGCTACGTCTAGACTGGCATGATTTTCTGGAAATGCTTTTAACAGAAAAGTTTCCGTTAAAAGCATTTTCAGAACAGATCATCTAGATTGGCACGGACGCTTTTCCGCAAAAGCACTTTTTGTGGAAAAGCGTCCGTGCCAATCTAGACGCGCTTTTCCGCAAAAAAACCCCGATCGCCATTTTTGCAATTGGGGCTTTTTTGCGGAAAACAAATCTGAGCTGTTTACCCTGGCCCTTTTGCACAAAAGTTTTGCGCAAAAGGACTTTTGCCCGAACGGGAGCAGCATAGTATTTCCGCAAGAACACTGACAATCTTACATGAGATCGTCAGTGCTTTTGCGGAAATTCAAGCGGCCAGTGTAGACAGCTGGCAAGTTTTTCCGGAAAAGCGGCTGATTTAGACACAGCCATTAAGTAAAGGGGTTAATGATTTGGTGGGGGAAGATAATTTATAGCTTAATGACTATGCTAGTAGGAAAATAGTTCCATGGATTTGGAATTCACTTCAGCCAAATTACAGTTTTCATTCAAGGCATCCTATAAATGTCAGTTTCCCACTAGCTAACTAAAGTGAGCAACACCTCTTTGTAAAATAATAACAAAGGCACAAGTTAGCCTCTAAGACCTAGCTTACACAATTTTTGTACCAGTCTAGCTTTGCAAAAATATTGTACTAAAATACTGTACCAACAGTGCTCATAGTATGGAGACAGGTATAGCAGTATAAAGATGCCTCATACCAATATAGATTATTCCCCTACCCATAAAGGAATAGATATATCAATGTAAAGCACCATTAGATCAATATAAATGCATCTGCACGGGGGCTGGGGAGTGGGGTGTTATACTACATTAGCTATACTTAATGAGGGGTGAGGGAATAAAATTTTCAAAACATCTAAAAGTGACCTAAATTAGATGGGTAGCCATGTTAGTCTATAGCCACAGAAACAATTTTATGCTTGCCTCTGTAATTTCCATTCCATGCCTCTGACAAAATGGGGTTTTTGCCCACAAAATCTTATGCCAAAATAAATCTGTTAGTTTTTAAGGTGCCACAGGACTCCTTGTTATTTCTAAGTGACGTGGAAGCCTAAGTACTATTTTCAAAAGACACTTAAGAAGCTAAGTCTCAATGAAAGTCGGTGGCACTTAGACTCAACTCAATCAGGGTACGTCTACACTACAACGTTAATTCGAACTAAGCTAATTCGAACTAACACGTCTAGAACTAAAAACTAGTTCAAATTAGCATTTTGCTAATTCGAACTAGCAAGTCCACATTGAGTGGACCCTGAACAGGGCTTAAGGATGGCCGGAAGCAGTGCCGGCAGGGCATCAGAGGAGGACTTAGAGCGTGGAGATGCTGTCTCAGGCTAGCCGAGGGCTGC